GTGAAAGCCAACGATAGAAACAGAACTGCTAACCGTAGAGGATGAGTTATTCTAAGGGTACGCAACATGTGCTTAATAAACGAAATGCGTAGCGTGCCACAGTCCAAAGACCTATGTGGATCTTGTGTCAAACTTGTTAAAGGGGGTTATTCGTGTCGCGAATGTTGCAAGATTTTTCTTGCGGCAAGGCCGAGTTAAATATAGTCAAGCCACGTTATTAAACACACCAGATTCTCTATGGTCCTGCGTGGAATGCACATCTATCCCACTGAGAAAAGTGTGCTCCTACTGTCTCAGAAGTACAACGAGCAACTAGCCAAGTTTGAGGAAGCGATGACCACCGAAAGTGCCACAACCGGAGTAAGCATAGCGGATTGGACAGCCCACGCATCCCCAGTAAGTGCTACTCCAATCATAAGGAGAACGGCTGGTAACACCGTACTCAAAACGACATCAATAGCCCAGAAAATTAACTGTTATTCCAGTACCAAAGGTGGCTCACATTCGACCAATGCGGTCATCAGATCGATCGGAGTAACTACACGCAAAGCTGTGTACAGCCTCTTGACGGAGTGCACAGCAAAAGACCAAGCCGGTACTAGCAAAAGTTGAGTTACGGTTGCTTCCAAGAAAAGTCGACATTTAGGATTAACAGCACTCCCAATCGAATCGGAAACTGAGGAGAGAAGCGGGGTTCTCGTGGTGCAAGTACCATTGGTTTTCTGCGTTACGTCCCTGAGTACTTCAAACACTGCCCGGGAGAGGTCGAAAGAGGCAAAGAAACAACATGTGCTAAGCGTACTGTGCTCCAGCATTCCAGAATTAAACATGACGTCGGAGGCAGTCAGTTGGACGACCTCGACCACTGGGATGTCATTAGTAACCTATTCGGAGTTGTACTGAAACATGTACACGTAGTGCGAATCACGCGGCACCCCAACTCTAAGCACCATGGAGAGCCGAATACTGTGCGTTGTGCTGAAATTCAATAACGAAATAGAACCAATTCTACTGTCAACAGAAGATTCAGAAACGAACACTACTGCATCGGTGTTTTTCCAGACATTCCATCAGACAGGCGTTATCTAGTTAACCGAACCCAGAGAGGATTGCCGCAAGGAAACTTTAATCAAAACTATTCTTGCTCGCGGCGGGGAGCATGAAATAACAACCCATGATAAAGAACAATGGTGTTATATTCGTGAAACATTCTTCTTGGATGAGGTGCCAGTGGCATCGGTGTCAAGACTTCGTACCTCACCGTACTACAAAGAATATGGATCGACAGAGTAGAAGATGGTCCTACAGTCAAAACATATGGTAGTACCACTGTTAAAAAGATGGTTCGTGTTTCGTTTCAGGCTGCCATCTGAGCTTCGGCTGAAGACAGTCAGCGATAGGCCCCCTAGAGATGGTATGTCACCGGGAGTAAACGCAATGGGAGCTATAAGGGAACAATGAACCAGTACTGTGTCTAAAGAGCCCATACAACCTGTTGAAGAATACAGTAATCAGACACCGCACGATGCACATGGAAGATTAGCTACTGGACTAACTATGCAGAGGATGAATAAAGAGTCGAAAACTACGCTAAGCACCCATCGAAATAATGATTAGTCGCCAGCCGTTCACTGGTCGGCGAAACTTCGCGTATGAACCGTACCTATTGTTTAAATTTGGGATACTTTCAAGTAGGTACACTAACGTCAAAGGGCTCCTCAGTAAACTTACCGAATTTCGGCTACGTCAGGTCGCGAATGATTGGGACCTAATTTCCATTACTGTAATTTGGTTCCATCAAGAAATGGATAAAGAGAGCAGAGGAGGTGGGGTCCTTCTCTATTACCGCAGCGACCTGCAATGTGTAATAGTTGATGAGCTCGAAACTTATGTTACTAACTCACTATGCTGCCGGCTCTGACTAAGACACATCGATGCAATTCTCGTAGATGTCATTTGTTGCACCCCAACATCCACTTCGGGAATAGATTACCAATCGATACGTGTCTTGAACAGGATAACACGCACAAGGTATAGACTAATTCTCATCTCTGGGGACTTCAATGTCGGCATCACCCAATGAAAAGTCCAAAGTAGACTTGTGTGAACTTATCGCTAATCTTCCCTTGAACAATCATGTCACCACGTCCACTAGATTGAACACAGCAAACAAACCGTCCATATTGGATCTTGTGCTCACGAATATACAGTGCATTAGGTATGACGAAGCCCTTGTGACAAGAGCGAAACATTACCAACTAGTATACTAACCGATTGTTTCCAAACCTCTTTGAACCCAGAACGTTTAACTATGTTTGTCATTCAGAGTTTCTATCTGAACACTAGGAACTAACTCATACAATCATGTGCTACCACGTCTTGAAAGAGCTAGTCGAAATAGCATCTATGGAATTCTGAAACAACAATACCCTTGAAAAACTTGGCACAGAGTTCGTTAATAGACTCAGCGACATCGTCAACAGAGCATCAGAGACCAAGCCCACTAGTTCCGCAAAAATGCCTTTAATTCTAAGTAGCAGGACTCGAAAATGCATGGCGATAAGGGATGTAGCATGGCGTGCCTACAAGACTAACCTCGACACAGAGACTTGGGATAACTTCCTGACCCATCGCAACCATTTCACTACACTTGTCCGTGAGGACAAAGTAACGTAACAACAGTGCCTCGCCAAAACGTTTCTGGTAAACAACAAACTACCGTATATGTATGTAAATTGTATTCATAAAGTATGGCGTTCTCCACTTTAGACAGCAGGTGGAAGAGTGCAAAGCGCCGAAGAAACAGCCAGTGATCTGTGGCTGCAATACGCCACAAATCTCAAACTCACATAACATCAAACACACTACGGACTAAATGGTTTACACAGATAATTTTCAACCCAGCAACTGTGCTAAGGAAGTTCGTCACATTGCTCTCATTTAGCAGATAACATCCACACAAGAGCACTGAAGACTGCGGCCACCAAGCAAGCCGAGCCACTGTCGCGGTTCCTCCAAAGATGCTTCGATTAACAGCAAGGGCCCACACTAAGTGGAAGCGTAACATTATAACCCTAATTTCTAAAGGCGGCAGTCGCTCAGATTCTGCAAACTATCGCCCAGTGAGTATCCTCGCTGTACTCGCAGTGATGAAAGCGGCCATCGCTGAGGCTCTAATGGACTGCCTGAAAAATAAGCAACATATTTGCACCGGAGCAGCTTGGCTTCCGTCAACATCGGTCAAGCACCACTAACCTGCTAATGGCACGAGGTAGGTGGACGCAAGTGGCTGATGGTGGAGTTGCAGTCGAATTCATCTATCTAAATTACTCCAAAGCTTTCGACCGCCGGATCACCGCATTCTACCTCATAGGTTTAACGTACGCGTCAGAGGACCAATCTCTAACTCAAATAAGGTAGAAAGTGGTGTTCCCCAGGCTTGGTGCTGGGACCGCGCCTGTTCCTGGAAAGTGTTACCTCAAATTTTCAGGTTGTCGCCGATGATGACAAGATATGGCGGGCGATTAATAACAAGGAAAAGCACGATCTACACAAAGATTATCTAGATTGTATTTGTGAGTGGTCAACGAAGAAGCTACTTCAGTTGGACGCAGCTAAGTGGAAGGTGATCCACCTGCGTCACCAGCCAGTGAGCGTGTACAAGCATGGAGACCACACCTTGCAGAAGGTCTCTCAGGGGCGTGACCTGGGTGTACTGATACAGGAAGATATCGGATGATCAAAGCAAGCAGAGAAGGCATCGAGAACCGGAAATCGACCGTTTAGCCTTCTTCGCAGAGTGTTCGGTCGGTATGACCATTCAATCTGCCTACAAATGCTTGAGGTCTATGTGCAACCGCACGTGAAATACGCCGTCCAATCGTGGCAGCCCTGGCAGAAGCAGAATCTCCTTGATCTCGAGACTCCTCAACGAAGGGCAACCAAGAACGTCAGGGGTCTGTTTCATCTGCCCTATAAGTTTAGACTGAGGTTTAAAAATGTACAGAAGTTGATATCGGCATTTGCAGGGGATCTCATAATGGTTTACCAGAAACTACATTTGCCGTCCGCTGCTGGAGTCGAACCACAACACTAACCTAAGAGGTCATTTACCGAAACTGACAATACAGTATAGCAGGCTTGAATGCCGTAGCAATTTCATTTCCCTCCGCCTGTTCCAGCCTTGGAACGCTCTCCCAAAGTACGTCGCCTCTGTTCTCAATCTGACAATATTTTGGAAACGAGTTCACGATGCGTTTTCTCATTTGCATTTCATTGTATAACTTGTTAGCCAGGGGGCTACAAAATACAATGGATTTATTGATTTATTCTTTAAGTATGCGAACATTGCTCTCCTACAGGTGCCTTTGGTAAGTCCACCTGGACGCCTTTCAATTTCCCATGAATTTTTATTTCGCAATAATTTCCATCCCATTGAACTTGTTAAGCAATTCTTTTTAACCAATAATACACCACTGTTCCACCTTCCGTTCTCTAGCATTGAAACGACAAGATTTCAACCAGATTAGTGTTACCCTTTTATCTTCTACATCGTGGTATTAATTTTCACTATATCTCGGAAACACTGCGCAATTCGGTCTCATCAATTTAAGATAGTCCGCAAACCCGAGAGCATTAGAATAGCAGTTGTAACCTCTACTTCTTTAGCGACAGTTCCGCGTTGCTAGCAAATGGGTGCCTGGTCTTTTAACAAGGATCACGACGAGTAACGCCTGGAACAATCGGAAACGGATGACACAAACCATATAATCACGTGCAGAGTCAAACGAATTGTATCGTTCGCTACATTTCACGGTATCCTGTCGTATAATTGAACAATCTGTAGAGAATACGGTTCCTGAGCAATAATAGCAATAAACCGAAGGGCTGTTGCTGGCAGTAGGGTTGATTTTACCGAAAGCACGCGATATCATCGAAGATGGTATAACGCAAGGGATACAAATCTCAAGTCTAGCTCGCACTAACAAATGCGCACTCACTCAAATGAACAGTTCTTAGGTGTCTTCGCAAACTGCCCTTCTCAGAAAACGATGTGTCACAGTGTTCACATGCATAGGGTCGTTGTTCTGCAGCAGGAAAGAGAAAGCCATTAGTTACAGATGAATCACACAGGGAAGACAGACAAATAATGGCGAATGGTACATTAAGATGGGTGTACCCATCTCGCAATATAGTAGAGACTTAATGATGGCCATGAAATTCGAGAAGTTAACATGGAAGAGAATGACGAGATAAAGAGTGCGAAGAATCCATCGGTGATAGTTACAGCATACTAATAGTAGGTACCAAATGAGGTATCGAACATTACTGTTCAGATATGTCAATCAAAGAGCGCAAAGTAAAGAGATCCACTGGAACGACATAGACATACAGGAAACAACGCAATCAGCGCAGTTGGAATCAGAAGTGAACCAAGCGCTGATGGCCTTTGAATGCGTCCGAGTACGTTCGAAATGGTAGATACCGCAAAAAATCTGAGATACACTCACTCAACAACCACACTACACAGTGGCAGAATAATAACCTGACAGGTGAGTTACGCATGTTGTTCCTTAGGAAAAGTTAACTATTGTTCGTTAATGGATTTTTTGAGATTCGTCGCAGTTAGACACAGACAGATAGCCACCACACATCCAGGGAAGCGCTAGACAGCCGTTTCGTCCTATTAAGGCTTGTCAGTAGCGCGCACCCGCAGTATCCTGCCGGATTCGAACCCACGAACTTACTCTTGCGAGTCAGCGACTTATGTCACTGAGCCATGGGCGACGGCAGTGGACCGCCATGACTGTTATCTAACTGCGATATAGCGCGGCTCATCCTCCACTGTCTTGCATGTTATGAAGGTTCAGAGAACAAGGCTGACCCCCTGTCTGTGTCTAACTGCGACGAATCTACACAAAAAGCCTAATAAATCCCCCTACCACTTACAAATAATTCGTTCATGGATGTTTGCAGAAGCCCGCTCAAAAATTCTACGACAGTTCCATCGAGGCCGTTCTGGTACAAGAGGAGTGAAAATGATTGAGTTTCGTTTATTCGCCAAACAGCGACGCAGGGCTTTAACCGTTGGTGAACCGAAGTTCAAGATGGACGCTTGTCAATACGTCACGCCGGAAAACAGAATGATCCCTCTGGCAATCAGCAACTAAATTCTGGAAACCCATACATGCCGATTTCTTGGGTCTTGTGAACGCACAACAGTTCCTTACGGTTGTGGATGGCCTGCGGTGTTCCGTACGGAACATGCAACCAATGGTGCAATCATGAAAATACGAAGTCTTTTAAACAAGCATGGAATACGCAGACTCTGGTCGTGGACAATGGTTCGCAATTCACATCCTTTCAGCTTGTCGAATACTGTGAGCAGTCTGATAGTACACATTTGCGTGCAATCCCACCATACTCCCAAACCAATGGACAATCGGAACATGCCTTGTTGGCACGTTCAAACGGACGCTACTGAAAAGGGTATGGAAAGGGCATTGCAAATGAGCCCCAAACATCTAGGTGCCAAACAACGTGTCAGCTGCAGTGGCTCTCATATGAAGAAAAATTCGTGCTGTTAACACGTGGCCGCTTCCGCCGAGTACTTGTACCACAGCAAACAAATATAGTATTACAATCAATGAAATAGAACCCAAGAACATTGGTTTTAATCAGGACAGTTCTTGGTCAGAGGTTAGGCAATATAGACAACAGGCTTGATTCGGAGCAGAATAGGAAAAGTGATCAGCAAAATCAAAGTAGATGATTTAAATTGGACTAGACACGCATATCAGATGAGGTCTACAAGTATCCATGAGAGTAGAAATAACCTATTCCGTAGGCCGCATCCAATGCGAATTCAGCCCCACGCCGGACATTGATCGCGATCCTTCGAGTGTCGCACACGCGCAGATTTTGCAAGTTTCATGTGCCTTGATAACAGGCTTCGTAGTTTTGTCAGGTAAACTGGATGCGACACATAGCTCTGCTTCAATGGGAAAAACCGCATATGCTCGACTCGGTGTGCAGCTGATGTTTCACTGTGACATATAACAAGACACTGTCTAAGCGACAACTGCCGTTTCCGCAACAGCCTGTTGGTAATGTTTTCTTCATTGATCTCCAGCATGATTCTACCTCAGAAGACTTCCGGACAACAATTGCAAAAATTACAGGAATGAGTAAGGATTTTCAGCTCCGTAACATACGCCTTGATAGTATTATTTGGGCGCCGGTTCCAGATAAAACAGAGTTACCGCTGATACGTCTCGTTAATCTGGCCTTCGCAGAAATCACCAAATTTTCGGACGACAGTTTCCAGATCAGATGAGTCTTCGTCCTTTTCGTACTGCATCATTTCCAACACGCGGGGTGCTTCATCTCCGATCGTATGCCAAAACATAGCCAATCGGTGTGGCATCAGTTGTTCATTCAGCCACACCAGTACACAGAAATCGATCCACTTGCACTTCCAGATTGTCCATTTATTGGCCAAATTCTGTTCTTCCATGTTTAGTGGGGCAGGTGGTTGCACAGCTGGTTGTGCTCCAATCAGCAACTAAGCACCGTTGGGTGGTCTTGGCTTGGTTTTCTCAGACACCATATCGTAGAACTCAGTCCTTCAGGGACAAACGGTTCATGCAACCAAAGCGAGCACAGCAAAAATGACTGCATGAGAAGCATGTAGGAGCCTCGATATAAATAATTAAGTCATTTCCATAACTAACGACGCAGCTACACTCATGAGATTCTTACTTTGAATAAGTTAAACTAACCTGATCCAGCGAACCAATCAGTGCGCAGATGAAATACGCGCAGCTGTCCAAGCAACTGCTTTGTTCGCTTGTGTAACGCTTGCTGTTTGCTTGCACAAGGCAATCACGGTTATCACTTTTTCTCTTGAGAAAAACCACGGATTTAACTTCCTTTCACGTTTCCACTACTACCGATTTTGTCGTTCGCCAACTTGCATCTCGCGCCAACACTTCATTGGTTGTTAATCCCTCCTCCGTTGATTCTAGTTCCGATCACAGTTTTTCCGACATCCGAAAAGCTCAATCGACAGTCATACTTCAAACTCGATCTGTATTCCGATTGGCGTACCACAACATACGAACGCTTATGCAGATTGGTCAACAAGCCGGCCTGACGCTTACCCTGATTTCTCTTCTCTTGGCAGTGATGTTTGCTGCGTATCCGAAACCCGGATGTAGGATACCAGCTGTGTACACATGCTGACCTCCCTTTCTGATCGCGGTACCATACACCAAATGCGTCTATCCACTGACGTAGAAGCAGCTGCAGTAGATTTGAGTGGTTTTGAGACAGAACTAAGTAAGAAAGCCGAAGCTACGTTGCTAGACTCGCTACCAGTTAACAATCGGCTTTACGCAGTTCGGCTTCAGGGATCGTGTCATATCAACAGACATCGCAAAGAAACACGCAACTTGCTTTTCGTTTCTGCATACGCCCCAACTGACTGCAACAGCGACTCTGTCAAGGACGCTTTTTACCACGAACTTCACCTTCTTTTGAGCAGTGAGTGTTATGACTCCCTCTTGGTTACGCCAAGCTATGACGATCTGGTATCAACTCTCCTAGTCGGACAAATGAATGTGACTTGGAATTATACTGACGCAAGACAAAATTCGAAGTTTGTAGCACCCGTGAGATTTAGGCGCAACACGGTTACTACGAGCGAGCTGAACGGGATCTTAGACCGAAAGCAACTTCACACTCAACTACCCGAAAGAAAGGCCTTTTGCAACAGGTACTTTTATCGGTCAGGCTCACGATGATTACAGCGCAGTCCAGCTTTTCTTATATACCGCGATTGTGAAATATATGAATTTGCACGCAGAAGGGTCCAAGTAAGCAAACCCTGGAAGCAAGTGAATTGGCACTATGTGAATATGCAACGTAATATGTCGAAAAGTGCATGTTAGTAGATGTGGAGGCAGAATTGAAAAAATGAATGTTTATTATGTAAAAAAGCTAAAAGATTGAAACAATCACCATAGCTCAGCAGAACTACAGATGGCTTTCGCATGAGCCTGTGAAACGCAGATGGGTTGCACCAATGAAAACCCATTTTCAGCCACCTTTCCATTTGAAGTGTATGAGCCGATGCTAAATGTGTCCGTGTCGGGAAATGTTCACTACCAAAGAGTACCACCAAATACATTGCCTGGACGACTGATACCACAGCCCACAATTACCTGAATTAGCAACCTCCTCGCGAGTACAGTTGTACAGAGACTAAAATTCACAAGGCGGACAATCCTGGACACTCACATCGCCATACACAATAACGTGTACAACGGACACCGATAGCTTATCTTTGTTTGATTCCCAACATGTGAGCCGCCGAAAACCATATGCATGTTTAGCGGACTTCACGGACACACCAACTGAAAAAAGCAGAACAAACAGGCCAACAGGAAGACCGAAAAAGTGCATTGTTCATGCCGAGCCGAAACATACCACTGTTTGCAGCAGAAAGAGCAATGAAACCACAGCTTGTAGATTTATTCACAAATGAGTATACACCATTGAGGACTCGCAAGGCAAAACTGTCGACTGGCACACGTTGTGTTTGAGTGAGCAAGTGGTGACCGTATGAATCAACTAAAGTGGGTGTATGGCAAATAGTAAACACTGCAGTCGCGGTTCAGCTGTTGGGATCAGATGACCACAGATGGGGATTAGTGGGGCTCCAGGTATTTCGGACGCGTAAAGTACCATCCAGCGCAGTAGCTATCACAGGACGCCCACAATCAGCGGTAAGGTGTGATTGCTGAGTCTGGTATGTTTCAGTCAATAAATAATCGGTTGATCGTGGAGAAAAATAATAATGCAGTAACGGTCCCCCGAAATGGTGCAGATGAAAATCTAAAAGCAGAATGGAGCTCATCAACAACAAAGGAAAAGACCTCATTAGGGCCTTGTTACTACGTTTATCGGGTGACTGGCATAAATGTCGCTAACTGCTTTCTGTGTTGGAATGTTACCAGAACATGCAGTTTGTATGTGGTGGTTTGCCGCTGAATACAATGGGCGGTGCGTAATGCACGTAGATAAGTGTCGATCTTTCAGTACTTCCCTTGCGGGCACCACGATTACTGACTCCAAAAAGGCAACTCAATGAGAGACTGTCTGAAATATACATCATCGTCGGGTCCGCACAATGCATTGAAGACCGAGGACTAAACTATGGATCCAGCTCCACGTACACCTTCTTATGTAGTAGACCATGGCAGATGAGCACTGCGTCTAACTGGACGGGGAAGAAAATCGCCCTTTGCAAACACGGAGGTGGATAGCTCAGTCGGTCCGTAGCATTCATCCCTTAACAGTATTATACAAATGTATTTTATGTCAAGGGTTGTGCTCACGGGCCAAAGCTTAGGGATCCCTGGAAGTCTGCTGGAGGTTTCGAAAAGCCCGGAGAATTCGTGTCGACATTTACTGCTACTCCAAACTGATCCCCGCAGATATACGTATAATATAACACTCCCATTCAATCTGTGGAAGGGGTTTAAGGATGTGGGAATAGTCTCTCCCATCGTCGAGAAATTAAAGATTTATTTATTATGTGTTTAAATAAAAACAGCATCTTCATTAAGTTGTAGACGATGCAAAACTGCACGGTGCTAAACAACAGGGATTAGACATTAAAGAAGAGAAATTGAGATGCGTGACGCGTTGCCTAACATAGAAGACGTCTGACAGAACATATCAAAGTAATGCACACGAAAGAACCGTGCATTCCATTCGTTCCAAATATTTCCAAGATCCCCAACCAGACATCTTGCCGATACAGCATAGTTAAAGTTGCGAACCAAAGATACACTCAGCATTCAACTCACTCAAGTGAACAGAGTTTTCGTGAACCCGGAGAGTGCGCAATAGACAAAAGGCTTTCTCACAGTACTCGCATTTGTAAGGTCGCTCTTCTGGAACGGAAAACAAAATTAGTTGGTTACACACAGCATAAAAGAATAAACAATGTTTTAGGGGAAACATAATGAGTTGCGGTGAATAAAATTAGAACGACCTACTGCAACTGATCAAATGATGACGAATACGAAGAAAAGGATTGCACTCTAAGTGTAAAATAAAAATTCAGCCTGAAATATTTCATCAGATAGCAGAACATATAAATGGTGTTGAAAACCAGTTAGATTTTTCAATTCGACACACTGCGATTAGACTACATTTGGTTCATCACAATTAGCCTGGACATTCTACTCCGCTTAATCACTTCCACTCAAACAACTGCCATCGAAAACGGGAAGCCGGTGCGTGAGTGTACCTTTTGTTTGTTACATCTGAAGCCGGAAGCTGACATACTCTTGGTGACCCAACTTAGACAAACACTAAATTCTAGTGCTGATTGGTTCACAGGGCATGATTAAATGTGTGCATACGTTTCGCCACCACAAGCGGTGGCACTGACGATGCTACTCGGTTAACCAATCAACAGATGAACTACCAACCCGGGTTAGCAGTTTTGCAAACCATTTCGAACACTAAATATGGGTGGAGATCGTGCGTAGAACGAATTGCTCTGCACCCTCCGAACTTTCGGTTATTATAGCTCAATTTTACAAACAAAATGCGTTGTTTGATGAATGCCGCTTAATTTAGACTAACCTGACCTCTGTACCATTTAACTAGTATAGTTTGCACTAGTTCGTACTAACTGAGTACTGGAAATACTTGACTGCAGCAAGTGGCATTTGCTATATGGTTCCTAAGTTCTGCCTCGACACCTTGCTACGCAATCTTCAGATTGGCACCGATAAGCACTGGCGTCTCCAGAGGAGATCCGCATGTTCTGTAAATTTACGTGAATTGAATCTGATACGCCTACGAGAAAAGTACTTCTAGTCTCTAAGGCTTAATCGTGGCACGTGTACCAGGTTGATAAACATAGAATCCTCCAGGGTACCAAATCACCAAGATGCGGGTGGGGTCAGGAATCAAAATGCCGAAACCGAAATAATGGTTCCTAAAGCAAGGAGCGTAAACTGCACTTCATGAACAACCCTTACAAAGACTGTGGATTAATTCGCAATTACAAACTACTGCTGTGTAAGTGACCACTGCGACCAGAGTAGCTCCGTCTATCAGATAACTGACCATGACGACCATACACACAAGTCATCCACAGAATGAAAACGAAGAGCCAACACAGCAGGATTGCTACGACCACATAGAATTTTAGTAAACCACAAACCAAAGGTGTTTTGGGAGGACTGCTTTCAAGGCCGAAAGGGAAGGTTTAAACAAGTTAGTAGAGTGATGTTATCTACAATATGGAAATATAGCCCACATTCATTGGTTTCCATGCATAAAAGCGAAGAAGGCTACCACCTGGATCCGAGTCCGCGGAAATTCGAGGCAAGCTAGAGAATCCTTGGAAGCACTGTATTCTACCGGCGTGTTGAACTAGATGACTTAAATACGGTACTACGGACGAAAGATCATCGACTTAGTCAAATAAATCCAACGGAACTGGACGCCGGAAAAACACGTCTAACGATGTCAACCGCAGAGATACGTGTGACAGCGTAACGAGTTACGAATCAGGAAGGTCGCTTTCGATGGCCATGTGCCCGTCGAAAGATCTAAACTCAAATTGACGGCTTGTTCGCCTAGAATATCGAACAATCAGATTCACTGACGCTTCGCGTCACGTCGCACTGCTACACAATAGCGCACTGATGATATAAACTCAAGTGTTGACGAAAGGTTTTCCGCCAAACTGCCGAACCCAGCGAACACCTAGATCATCAAATGTGCTCCCATATCAAGCAAAAAAACTCAATAAGCCACAAGTGCAACCGGTCGTGCAGATGGATCTAGTGGGAACTGTGATGTGCCCTCAGACGTTTTCGAACAAAGGACAAACATGCTCATAGGTTATTTGGGTTTTCAAACGACAAGAGCGGACAAAGTAGTGAACAAATGCTGAAAACCAGAGCAAGCACTGATTTCAGGAACACCACACCTCGGACAATAATCGTATCCAATCCATAAACTTCAACTAACCATTATGACACTGGCGGCGGGATCAGACACAGCAGCAGCAGAGGCTCAGGAGCAATACATTTATGAACCCAAGCAACACAGCTACACACGCACGTACACACCTACATGCATTCATGGTTCCACAGATATGACAACCCAGTGATACTTATGTACATTGCTCGAGCACTCGTTGTACCCTTACCATGATCATACCCGTGCAGACGTGCCTCTCATAGTCAAGAATAAACGATCTATTTATTTACTTAATCGAGAACGGGGTATTAGAATTGGATCGTGAATACTACTAGGCGGCGCATTATCCGTAAGGCATACTCGACCAAGGTCACACGGTGTTGTGCATAAAGAAACGGAGAATATCAAAGATGGGGTTGAAAGAATTTGTAGTTAAACGTTTTGCAGAAAGCACCTCAGTCCAGAGTAGCATCGCAAGAGAGCTAGGAAAATGTGTGGGGTTGTTGAAATATTGGTCTAATAAGTTGTGTGGGCATGTAGCTCCCCAGACCGAGGAAAAGAGTTAACTTGGGAGGCCCCACTCAGCCTTGTGCAGTAAAGAGTTGACCTACATCGAGGCAATTGACCTTCATCGCAAACAGCTTGTAGATAGCTACCACAGATTTCTGGTAGGAACAAACGTCCATGGAGCTCGAGTAAAGTAGCACGGAGGCAAGAGAAATTCCCTGAACCATGAAGATCGCCGGCAAGCACGAAGACCCTCAATAGCAAGGTAGAAACCGGTGTCCATGGAGATTGTCCATCCACACTCCGTTGGATACTTACTTTTGGTCGTATAAGTGAGTTATCAGAGACCATAGAGCCGGTCACATTGGCTCTGACAGTTCGAAATGATTTGGGAGGCTTGCTTAGTTGTTGTGGAGTTCTCCGAGCTGGGCAACTTGATTGCAAACGTTTCGCTACCATTCCAGGTGGCATCTTCAGTGCGGGATTGATAACAGTTAAGTAGCAGTAGCTGGTAGAAAGCAAACCCAATAATGGATCAATCTCGCACTGAAGATGCCACTGGAATGGCGGCGAAACGCTTGCAATCAAGTTGACCAGCTCGGAGAACCCCACAACAACTGGGAAGTGTCTTACGGCCTATTGTGGTAGTTAATGAGGAACTACGTGATCAGCCAAAAATCACCAGGTTCTAGGACGCTACTGCCGATTGTCTCTGGCTGCCAATTCATCCCGCCCGCGAACAATCAGGGCTTATTCATGGCTACCTTCGCAAGTTGGGTGTTCTTCGATCCAAAACACAGGATAAGCCTTGTGGCGTGCAGTTGCGCTTAGCATCTGGTTCACTACGAACAAGTGAATAGACAGAGTGTGTAAGAACAGCATGATGCCAGTCCAATAAGTAGAAGTAGTTTGGATTGCAACTCGCTTCCGACATTCTGCATCAGCACAGTGCACGGTTCCCTGTGTGTGCGTGTAGGTAACAATACTGGGCCTAGTTGGATTAGGCTACGAGGTGAACAGTCCACTACACGGCAGAAGAATGGGTGTGGAAAATGGAATCAGATTGCGCGCTGCCGCTAATCGGTCATTAGAACGCACGCTCATGAGGATCCAACATCACACGTAAGACATCTAAGTGGCAGTGTCGTAAAAAAAAGGAACAATGTAGAGCTTCTAGACAACTTTGATAGAACAAATAACGGAACGACGCAGCTCCAGTTGGATGCAAGTGCCATTATATCAAAAGCCCATCTCTAACAACGAATCGCCATCAGAAGTAGATCAAAGCTACAACCTAGTGCAACAGCTGGCAGGGGTGAAGGGTGACCCAACGTTCACACA